CTAAATTTTTAAATTAATTAAACGTAAACTTACATACAGTCTCCATAAGTGACAAAATACAATAACAATTATTAAACATAAAAAGTAAGAATAAAAAGAAATAATAAATTTAATCTTAATGAAGCATTTCAACAAAATTACAAAGACAAATAACACGATGTTATACAAAAAAACACAAAAACAAGAGATAATAGCAATGCACATTTTTTATTTAAAAAATTTCTTATAGAATCATTGTGTAATTGCTGCTTAAAAATGTTTTTTGTTTTTGTTTTTTGTTTGAAAACATTTTTTTATCAAATTTTATTTCAAATACATGTCACGTAAGCTCCTCAAAGCCGCTTTATTTCGATGCGAACACTTTAAGCAAATAAATTAAACTCGATTTACTTTGCCGGTTTCATAACATAAACTGAGCAAGTGTTTGTATGTGTTTCCGTCACTGAATATGTCATTGTTTTTACTTAAAACATTTCAGAAGTTGTTCATACATATAAATATTTCCATTACATTAGCGGATAGATGAGAAATTAATTTTATAGCACAAACACTATTTAAGAATTATTTACACAAAAACGAAAATACAAAAAATGATGGTATCTTTTAAAAAGTTGTATTTTTCTTTTATTTTACTTTACTTAAATTTAATTTATAATTTTTTTTAATTATTTTTTACTATTTTTTAACTCGAAAGAGCGGACAACTATATTACATATCTCCGACATTATTCAGATTTTTTAAATTTTGCCTAAAAAATCGCCGACTCGAAACCGCTCTTAGACTCATTTGACTTCAGGCGAAGAAAGATCCGTAGAACATTTCCCGCATACTCGATTTTATAGAAAAGAATATACCCACTCTAATGTATGTACATACGTACAATATGTTTATTCATATATTTTTGATGCATTTTCGTCTTTTACCAATTTGAATCATTACATTTTTGGCCCGATTACGATTCTTTCGGCGCCGCGATTTGATGGTACGGATGGATAGAGGAGGTCCTCAGGATTAAAAAATGTATACACAAATACTCAGACTCATAGTTTTCGAAATATTTCACTTTAAAGTTCCACAATTTTATATGCAATTCACCTTTATTTTGTTTTGTTTTGTTTTTCTTTACATGTCATGACAAATGCCAGTCTTACCACATATTGTGTTTTGAAAAAACTATTAAACAATTTTCTGTTTAACATATATAGAGAAAATGGTACAAATGGGTTTTGTATCTTATTTTATTTGATAAATAAAGATAAAAAATATGTCGAATTACTTTTTGCGCTGGCGGCCTTCGGCCGCGCTTCAAAAAGAATAACCCTGGTCGGTCCAACACCGGGGTAATCATAGTTCTTTTGTGTCGAACTACTTTCTGCAGTGAAATACTGAAAAACTTTGCATTCTATAATAAGTTTTGTCACTTATATCTCTAAATATGAAACAGATTTTTGATTATATATTCAAGACACAAAGTATGGCAACACTGCTATTTGTCATAAATGTAAACACACAAATCTCTTGAAACTTTGAATATGCAAAATAGTTTTTAAAGTATACTTATTTTCTTAAAAAACTATTCTGAGAACGGTATATGTGTAACCATTTTTTAATCCTGAGGACCTCCTCTATCTATCCGTACCATCAAATCGCGGCGCCGAAAGAATCGTAATATTGCCCATTTTTTCACATTTTCATTCGAAATTTTCATTTTTTAATTTTTAATTTAAAAATGTAACATTTCAGATTTTTTTGGAATGATTTTTTTTACACATAATTTGTGTATTATACCCAAACAAAATTATGATTTTTTAAGTGATTCCATGAAAAAAAATTTTATTTGTTAAAAAAAAACTTAATTGTCATATATTTGGGATATTTATAATATTTTTTTTTTTAATTCCATTTGCGATTTTCTAACTGCTTTCAGCCGCACTTATTTAAATTATGCTTAAAAATATATTTTTTTCTCGCGACACCTACTCGTCACTGTGTTCACTCTTTTGTTTTTGCAATTTCCCATTTTCTGCACCATTTGCGGCAGTGGATTTGCCATTTGCCGCTGTTGTTGTTGCCGCTGTGCCATCTTCGGCTAACAAATTCACGGCAGTTGTTAACTCATTTGCTGAATTCACGCGACGCGTCGTTTGGTCCGTTAGCAACGCATTCAACAGTTGCAGCAAAGCGACGGTGATAAAAGGCAACGCGGCAGTGGTGGCTTCGAACCACGTTAACTGTATTAAGCCATATAACATTTTCGTAGCGCGTCGTAGGAAGTGAAGGCGAGTTGATCAATTTTGATTATTTTTTTTTTCCTGTTAAATTTCTTATTTATTTTTAATTTTTACACTTTTTGAAGCAATTTTCCAAATTAGCTGCACAAATCAAGTAAACCAAAACCACCAATAATAAGTTGCACACACGTCACATCCCGCTCTCGCCAACATCGATACCGTTGTCACAAGATCGCAAACTCAACTGAACGCCACACACGTTTTGCTATAAATTTTTGTTAAAATTAATTTTTGCTTTAACAAAAATAAACAAACACATATACAACCTTCTCCGACTCGCTGACAAAACATTTTCTCAATTGAGCTTCGCTTTGTAAGTATAGAGAGTATTTTTACTTTTATACTCATACTAAGAAAAGTGTGTTTGTGTGGCTCGCGGGCTCGCCATATGATAAGAGAGATCGCACGCTATTCCAGTAGAATTGCGGCGATGACATCACTGTGGCTTTGTATCCGGTGACTACAATCTTTCTCGCTCTCAGTGGTTGTTCTCTCATATAATCTCTCGTATACTGTCTACTTTCCCAGAACTCTCAATAAACCTTTTTATAGTAACTTTACCATAGCTCTATCAGCTGTTGCATTGAATGAAATGTTTATTAAGTATTATGATGTATTTCATTTATAAACAAACTGAATCAATCAACGCTGTAATGTTAATAGCTCTAGCGAATTTTGTTTACATTCGCTCTGTTTACGTGTGTTTACCTGTTAGAATGGCAGACAGTAGTATGAGAAGGCATACTGATATAATAATATCCACTGATAATTGACATGAGCATATTAATTTAGTACAATAAAAACGAATATAAAAAAAGTCCGAACAAAAAATAATCTTATGCATATAAGCTGGACAAAACATGATCAAGGAGCTGAAAAACTTTTGAACTAGTATATTCCTTTAGGACTCAGGATTGCCTAAATTTAGGGGCAATAGTTATTGAAGTTAAATTTTTTTTCTACCACCTCAATAAGTCTACCAGCTGTCCCCTGAAGACAATATTTTGAAACGTTTAAACATCTTAATATAGTAAACACATACTGCGTGAGAGTTTTCCGAATCGATTTGTGAAATGGAACTAGAGATTTATTTTGGTCCTTTACGTATACCGATATCCGTCTGTTTTAGAGGCGTTTCACAGGCTATCACGTTTTTGGTTTATTTCAATACTCAGAAAAAAGCCCACATTATGTTATATATAAAAACACTTCGGGATAGAAAATAATTTGTAGACGTAATATTTATAAGATTAAAACTTACTTATAAAACGCCTGGCGCTTTCTCTGGTAGAGAAGGTTTCAAGTAACGCTAAAAGAATGTGACCAGATGGAATGGGCGCTCGATTCTATTGCGCGGAACTCGATTTATGACGATCTTTCAAGCTACCGTAGTACTACAGCATCTTTCAGGTGGACGTTTTTGTGGTCAGTAAAGCTGCTGAGATAGCTAATAGCGCAAGCTTTACTCATAGGGTTTCGAAAGACTACAAAACGATTGTTAGCCTAGTCACTGGCATCCCATGTGAGCCATATGGGCATTATTAACGATGACACATGTGGAAAATAGACAGTACAATTGTATAGTCAATAAATATATCTGTAGTTAGTTTTTCCCGCATTTATTCCTTCATTGAAAGAATCTAGAAAATATCACAAAAAAAGCTTTTATCATAAAAAAATCGTCTGATGGCTTCAACGTCTTCCCTGCTCGCTTGTGTACAAATAAATTTATTAAATATTTTTAGAGAGGTTTTAGACGTTAGCTTTAGAATTTAACCGGGAATACTTTTGACACCAGTTGCTACTTTAGTAGGCGGTTGGAAAGTTAAATAGTCCATTTACCCAACATAATTACTATTAAAGAGTCTTTCATCAATTCTCCACTTACCTCTAATCGAAAGGTATAATTGTCGTTGGATATATGGTTGTCGAAGGAAAAGACCTTATAGCATTTGGTTACAACTTAGTCCAACGATAAAAGTACTGGTAAATATGAATTATTTCAGGAACTACCATAACTAGGAATATGAAACTGAAATATAGCTGTTAAGTCTGCGAATCTGTAGTTGCTGGACATACAGGTGTCGAGAACCTCCCTTAAATTTTCATATGTTCGATCCTAAGGTAATTCTTAATCTTATAAATACCACGTCTACAAATTATTTCCTATCTCGAAGTGTTTTGCTGCCGATAAAGGGCCTCTCAAAATTTAATTGAACTGTTTGGAAACGGGTTTAAATATCTAGGTCTCCATACGAGTATATAACATTATGCGAGATTTTTTCTGAGTATTGAAATAAACCAAAAACGTCATATCCTATGAACCGCTTCTAAAACAGACGGATCTCAGTAACAATAAAGGACCCACGTTACTATCAAGCTCCATTTCTCAAATCGATTCGAAAGAGCTCTCATGCATAAAAATTGTAGTATGTGTTTACTATATTAAGATGTTCAAAAATTTTTTAAGATTGTTTTTAAGAAGACAGCTGGTGGACTTATTGAGGAGATGGAAAAACATAAAATCTCAGAAGGCTACTTTAGAAGCATTACATGAGTACACTCCTTTATTTACAAAAGTCATGCCGCAGCTTTCTAGAAATTTTTAAATATGTGAAGAAGTTTTGATTCTGCTGAACAAGCTAAATTCAGAATTGCAAAAGCGGGCCTTTTAATATCCACAAAACTGCAGACACATGCGCGAAGGCGAACGTGACATGTTACGACCCTTCCAATAAACCGAATGATCTCAGCACAATCAAAAATCTTAAAGCGACAAGTAGTAAAAACAAAAACACTAATTGCAACAAATTAACGCCGTCATGTGTCGACACTCGTATGCAAATTAGCGCAAATGAAGACGAGAGCGCCAAAAATGCCAGCCATTGAGCAGCCGAAGCACAATTGTAGGCTGCGAGCATAAAGCCAAAAAAGTGCCGCATATGTTCAGAAAGAATGTGAGGCGACCGATTTTTGCGAGAATTCTTGGAATCAAAAAATTTTTATTATTGTTATTACTATTTGCGAATGCGATCTGCACTGATCTACCGAAAATAATTCTCACTGGTTTTAAGCTTCAATTTTACGACTGTGTGTATGTCAATGCATAATAAATATTTATATCTTCCTAAAAATAATGATGTCACGCGACCTCACTCAAGCAATTGTCTGCAATTGTGTTTTTGTACAACAAGTAATTGTGGCACGATCGTGAATGCCGCGTGTTGCATACGAGCAGGTGGTAGCTAAAGGGGATGCTGTTGCAAACGAGGTACTTTGTGTGCATGTAGCAGTGGGCGATATTCGATACCGCAAAACTTTGCATTTTTGTACCTTGATAAGAGTATACTTATAAGCATATACGACACGCGTGACGGTATGGATCGATTTAATCATGTCCCTCTATCTGTCTGTAAATATATATCTCAGTTTTTGATTTATTGATCTGAAATTTTGCATACTCCCTTTTTCCCAAAGCAGTTGCTAATTTTTCAGAAGCGCCGGTATCGTATCGTGTAAAATCAGGTTATTTGTCAAATTATTCTTATGAAATTCTGTGCAGACTATATTTGAGGGCAACGGTGCAATCTAGAAACAAATTTCTTAGGTCGCAACACTATTGCATATACGAGGCAGCCACGAAAACTGACTGACCAATTCAAAATAAAGATTTCTTTATAAAAGATATTTTTCCTTATTAAGTAACCCTATTTGAACCAGAAGCATCAATATATGGTTAATTACCCAACAGTGCTTCCAGTACTTTATGTTAAAGTTTCTAGGAGTCATATTTAACAATTCTTACCGAAACTTTTGTGTCGTTCATCCTTTTCATACGCTGAGACTTTATGAGTTTCACGGTGCATGTGTTAGTTTCTGCGCTTATTATTTCAATGTTTTGAAGATTCGGTAGCCGCGGCTTATTTACTGTATTATTGTTTGATATGGCTAGAAAGAACTACATATTAAAGTCTAGCTATAAGAACTGCAACTGTGAAAAGTATTTTAGCGCAAGAGCAACCAAAACTAGTGTTATTTATTTATTTGACATCATTATTACCATATACAGGGTTTTCCAATAAGAGTGATATGATTTCTTAAAAAAAACAACACTATGACACAATGAGAAAAAATTTCATGACGTGGCATAATGAAAATCGAAACGGCACTTAGAAATCGTATCATCTCATTTGGAAAACCAGTTACCAATACGGTCTCATAGGTAAAAAGATGAAAATATAATAGCATATGCTATTAACAGCTTCTTATTGTTCAAAGCGATGGGTCCGGTTTAGATTACTTCCATAATGCTGCAGAAAGTAGAGGAACCAATTTTTCTAAGGCTTGAAAAGATTTAAGAGGTCCGTATCCGTGAATCTGTGAACCAAAACCAGGCAGAAGAACACACCATCTAGCAAAAGATTTCAGACCTCAAAGCCCCACTTCCTTCCTGTTGAAAGTGCTAGAAAGGTTAATAGATATATGGTACACATCAAAGCAATCATTACAGAAAATTTATCGACTGCACATCATGAATACATAAAGGGTCGATCACTGGAAACTGACTCTCTGACACATGGCGACATATGCGACATGATGTGGATATGAATACAATCGATGCCATGAACTCAACGGAACGAACAAGTTATGTAAGCGGAGGGACTCCTCCTGAAGAAGGTTTCCTTTCCCCACTTCTATGGTGACTCTGAATAATTTACCCAGCGAAAGAGGTGTCAAAGCAGTTGTATTTGCAGAGCTGACTATATTGTGTGTTAAGTGTATCGAAGGTCACACCTATAGGCCGCCTAATGTTAACCCAAGAAAGACGGAACTGATACTATTCACGAAAAAACTAACTCAATGTCATCTTCACTTCAGTTGGTGATGCTACAATTTATCTGTTATCCACAGCAAAATATTTGAGTGTCGAGATAGATAACAAACTAAATTGGTAAATGAATGTTGAGAAACGTACTAGAAAAGCTTATATGGCATATTACATGAGTAAGAAAATATTTATCAGTCATTAGACCCATTCTTACATATAATCACTAAGCTGTAAACATCCAAGGTTAAATTTCAATAGTTACTACAAGTTGGGAATACCTTCTAAGCGATAATGAGGAAGTGTTTTTGTAGGGCTCTTTACCGACTGGTCCAAAATGTACTGCGATATAGGGACGGGGGTATACTCAGAGGATTTTGATAACCCTCGATCTTTCCGTCTACCAAACTCAGCCGACATCTTCCAATTGGAGCTCTAAAGAAGACCTTTGTAGTTCTACTGAACAACTACAAGAGAAAGCAGACAGTGACCATACAGACATCCGGCACTACTAGCCTTGTCGTCACCAAGGATCAATATCATCTTGGTAGGCAAATGTAGGAGGGCTTTAAGCTCACTGACAAGTCAACTTCAATTGTCTATAATTTGAGTTTCCGTTCACAGGAATGTTTCCAGCATCGAAAATGCAGACTTAGTAAGGAGCCTCTCTAAACGCATCCGAGGCGGAAATATACATATTACTTTGTCCGTTAGGAACGATCAAGTGGGATTTGAACAAAAAGCTCATAAATAATAGAATCGAATACAACCAAATGTAAAATAGCAAAGCAGTATGGGCAAAACATGACAAGATAGAAACTAAGGACTTATTACATAGGCCCAGGAAAAGTATGGACAAACTTCCAGCAACCATAAATAGGCATTAATTAGACATTAAAAATTGTAATGCCCTATAACAATATTTGTCACAGCTAAAAACTTGAAAGGAATAAAGAGCGAATTTGAACTTCATCTGTGAGTACCCTTATCTATCACAAACCAAAAATTGAACTCTTGGGAGCCATAACTAGGTGCATAACTGACATATGTAAGTAGTTTTATTGATAAAATACTTTGAAATAAACAAATAGTTTGAACACAACAATGAAAGCCTGCCCAAAATTAACGCAAGATAATAATTAAATAGAAAACACAATTTTTAATCTTTCAATCGTAGTTTTTTTATTTAATCATTAAGTAAATAGGATAGGATGGTTTATGAATTAACCCATCGGACAAATGGCCTCCTTGGATTTCCATGGGTCTGCTTCTTTAGGCTCGCGAGGTTGTAAGCTTTTTGCAATAGGCCTGGGATGGGACGATTGGTGTTAATTCACACAATCTATGAGGATATTTCTTATCACCATAACGAGAGAGAGTATTTTTATTTTTTAGGGTTGTCAATACTTTACCTCTCTGCACTCTTACCTACATACCTACCGGTTTATAAGACCAGGATTATATCGCTATTCCAAAATTTGTCAAACAACTATTATTCCAATTCTGATCTAGGATAGTAAAAACTTTATCAAAAACCCCCATTTGGTTAAAGCTGCCCAACCTGCTGTCTTTGATGATACTGTGGGTGAATCTGTTTATTCAAATTCTTCCACTTGAATTAATGTTAATAGTACTTTGACATCAATAAATAGCATTACGAACAATAAATATCCACCTGCCTCAACTATAGTTGGTGTTAATGATAATTTGCTCTCAATGTCGTCATATTTAAAAAACGGATTCATTTGTTTAATTAATCACATTTTTTCTCATCCGTTTTCTGCAGCTCCCCAAATGGTTCTTGTCTTGAAGTCTACTATCAAAATTTATTTAGTATTAGGTCCAAATCAAATATTATTCGTTATAATACGTTATTGTTATTCATACATATTCTTCATGTTTGAATTATGATATTTTCGTTATTGTTGAGAACTGACTTAATTCTAATTGCTATGAAAGTAAAGATTTCGGCTTAAATACTTGAGATTAACTCGATTTCTGAGAAAGTTCTACTTGACTTTTTTTCTTTCTAGGGTTTCTTTCGGCAACACCCTTAATTCTATTTTTTAGCTAAGTTATCTATTTGTTTAACTGTAATTTTATTATTTTATAATTTAAGGCATGGAGTTTTAATAGTCCGTAAGAATTAATGTTCAAAGACGTAAGTAACTAAATCAATAACTTAAATTTTGTAAGAAAAACGTATTTATTTATTATTTGACAAGATATATTCACGAAATTTGGCATAGATGTTTGTCCAATATATATCTCAAATTTTTCTTTTTCTTTAAATACTCGAAACTGGTAAATAAAATTATTCATATTTTTGTAATTATTATTTTTGTTCTCTAAACTTAAATATAAATAAGTATCATTTCATTGAAAATAATTTTTAAAGTTGATATATAATATT